AGAAAGGCAATCAGACGAGCAGCAATCAGCTGTAGTGATAATATTTAAAATAAATTTTGTGGTTTGAAAACTTTCAAACTACAAGTTTGAAAACAAAGTTTTCAGTGTTTTATTGTTACATAAAATGAATTTCCATCAAGTAACGGTCGAATCCATCAATAGTTTAATATTTACTTACTATTTTTACTGGCAATTAGCTACCATTACAGTTTAAAATACGTTTCTATTTCCACTTCGGAAATCGCGTTCCCTTCTTCTTTTTTAGCTGGCGACACATTATTTCCTCTGAGAGAAGTCGTTAACACACTACAAAATGTTTTGTTTTGTTACTTGGCAATACTGGCTAATGCTACTGGCTAGGCTAAAAATTTAATTTTATGTGCCTCATTCATATTGACAACTCCGGACATATATTGGACATTTTAAAATAAATGACTTTAAAATTATATTGTCAAAATTTTTGAGGTATGTTCCTGGGACAACTTTATTGGATGATTGATGAGTCAATTCGGTTACTTTACATTAACTTTCAACTTGAGAATACCAGTCAGAAAAATCAACGCACGTGATAGGTCTTAAAAAAAAACACATGCAATGATGATAGTAAAATTCTCCTCTTAGTGATCCCATAGTTAATCATGGTAGAAAAACTGGGAAAAGACACTAAAGATAACTATTATAGTGACATGGTAATTATTTGGTCTTACATTTAGTTTACCATCAATATTAACATCAAACTCAGGTTTTATATGTATGTGACTTTAAGATATAAATGATGTATCCTCGTTATGTTATTGACTCACTAATAGTGGTATTTACTTTTTATTGATTTCTTTTAAAATTGGTAACCAGGTCCTGTGGGACCTGGTAAATCATGTGGGTTCATAGACGAATGCTGAAGATACCTTAAACAGCAAGGAAAACTAATGAAGAAGTACTAAGGAGCGTCAACAAAGATAGAGAACTGCTAAAGACTGTTAAACATCGAAAGGGGACGAATGGTAAGGGAAAGTTGATATAAAATATTACAACTGATCCTTAAAGGCAAAATAGAGGGCCGTCGAGGTGTGTAGAGGTGTAGGAAGAAAACACGTTTCTTGGTTAAAAAACATTCGTAAATGGACTCAGATACCAAACGCAGGACAATTATTCCATATTGCATAAGGTAGAGAAGCCTTTGCAATGGTGATCGCCAATGTCGAATAATTCTGATATGGCACGCGAAGAAGAAGAAGCAGGTCCTACATACAACAATTCATTGCAATAAATTTACTTTAAAATGTATATTATTTATATGTTTGAATTGTCAATATAAATGATGCAGAAGAATTTTTGTCTTGTCAAGTAACAAAACGAAATAATTTGTTTAAATAATTGGTATTTTGAGAAAGCTTTCCGAAGTGGAAGTCGAAATGTCAAAATAAACTTTAAATTTAAATTCACAATTGTGGTTAATTCAAAATAAGATTAGTCAATAACGTTGTTACTATATTTTTAAAATCTGTAAGTATTACCCTTGTTAAATGATGTTGGAATATCCGTTAGTCAGACTCAAGCTCGTTCTACTAGAGATTGACCTCATAAGAAAATTCAGCGAATTTTACAAGGCCTGGCATTTTAATTTAAAAGTATTTTTAGACTTAATCGATGGTTAAAAGTGCCCGTAAGATCTTCATGAAAAACTAAGTGAACTGACATTTTTTAACTACTTAATAACCAGATAGCAAATTTAATGGAAATATAATATACTGATGGGAAAAAAAAATGCAACCCTTTGTATACAGTTATTTATTTGGATCAAAAATATTTCTTCCTCTAAGTCTTATCTAAAGATATATATGTGATAAAGTTACTAAATGTGTTTTAGCTTATTTGTAATTTTTAGTAATTTTGGATTTTTTTTTATTTACCCAAAAAATTTAAAATATTAAGAGTTGGCGGTCGTCTACAATTTCGTCATTTAAGCGACTTGGAAAAGGGTTTGGTTGCTGGAAATTTCACGAGGAGTTGAAACTAATTAATCAACGGTGATAAGAGTTTGGAAGAGGTGGTCCAATGATGAGACTTATCGGCGTCATGGAGGGTCTGGACGTCCTAAAATATTGCGAGGTCGTTATTTTGTGCCATCTTAGACTTCTTTCTCATTATGGTAGTGTCTTTTTTAGCTGTCATACAAAACTGACCCAACTTCTGTTATTTCCACAAGTGCTTTGGTAGGATTTGAATTCGGTACAGCAGTTTTTGTTTTACCATATTGTATCGTTTGTTCTCTCTTATTGCTGCATTAACATCGCCAAAACATGATATTTCCATACAAATATATTTTAATTTCATGTCTTGTAACATCTTTAATGTTGTGAGATATCTCTTTTAAATAACGAAATCATTATGTTAAAAGATTTGGCTGTTCCATTGGATTGGTAAAAAACTTGTTTTCGTTGTACGTTACTAGCACTGCATAATTTGCATAGCATAAAATATTATTCTCGTATTTTTATTATTTCGTCCATTTTGATATTAAATAGAAACGGTGCTCAATACGCCTCCGAAGGATCTAATACCCAATCTGCATTGGTTGATTAAATTATTCATCTATATTTGCTTGGTTTTGTTTGAATTACCTGCTTTTCCTAAGACTTTTCGAATTTATTTTTTGTGCGATCATAGAGTATATTTATCGGAATACAATGAAAAAATCAAGTAGGTAAAATGTTTGATAATCTTAAAAATAAGACATTAATAAAAATTCTCTTTTAGATTAGAGTCGATAAATAAGTGACGGGTCCCAGCTTTCATGGAGGAAGAGTTTTGATATAAGCATGGGCTCCGACACGGCGCGACCCAATGGCTGATAGGGAATGCTCCTACAGACATGTAGGACAGATGCGAATAAGGTATAACCAAATAAGAACGCGTGGATTAACTGACGACATGCATTGGGCCGCAGCTAAGTGATTACTGAATCAAGGCTACAGCGGAATGATTTCTGCTGAATGATTTAACCGGCCGTGACACTACGATCAGGCAAGCAAGGCTAAAACACCTGATTATCTTCCCGATATTACACTATAGTATTGCTACGCTCTAACAAGGGCTCAAGGAATGAGGAGGAGATAAAAATATTTTAAAATTATTACGTACACCATCGAAATTTGAGGCAACGAACTTGTACCTTTTACCATGTAATTGAATGCCTTTATTGCAAATAGAACATGCTTTATAATCGAAACACTGCTACGCTATGGTACATGTGACACTGGCCTTTGCCAAGCCCTCGATAGATGGAGATTTTAATTTACTTCAACTCGAATGTTCTTCCATGATTAATTAATATAAATATATAAGTAAGTAATGTTTATACTGATATATAAATCAATAATTATAATCAAGGTTATACCATAACAGCCCAATCTTTCAACTATTTAAAAAATATTAGTTGAACGCTTGCTTTATGTCACGTGGTCTTGAAATATCAAAAGTATTGTATTATCGGTAATATGTATATCAAAAGTATTGTATATGCTTTAAACTCAGCTGGCAGTCAATATATAAGAAGTACATAATATAAAAATATCTCAAGGAAATAATTTCAGAATCAAATGTGTTCTGTTCAAAGCTCAACTCATTTCAAATATGTTTTTCGAACTTAAGATTCAATTTGAAAACGCCTGGGCAAATTTGAGATCCGGCTGACCTGTTGATTTTTTATTTATCGAATACTAAATTAAAAAATAGTAAACTTTTAGTTAGAGAGTTAAAAATATTTTTTAAATTTTAATTTAAAACAACCCCCTCTGATAATTAATATTCCGCTGAAGATATCTGCTTTTGAAACACTGTTCAAATATCTACTTAAAATTGTCTACATAGAACCCGGGACTATGAACTGTGATAGGGAGACGAAATTAATATTTTGTGGAGTTAGAATATGTATACGTTCTTGGAATTTAACCCTGTATATTAGCTAATAATATTTACGGACAAGAAACAAAATAAATAAGCATAAATAATCCTCCACAGGTGGTCCAAACTGTTAAAAAAAACATCATTCTGAAAAATGACAAATTTTTGTTAAGATTTGGAGATATATAATCTGCAAAATATAATAGTCTCTTTTCGAATTCGGTTATATATGAACATCCAAAATTTATCCTAAGAGATCCTTAAAAATAAAAATAACTGATGGTGGCGAAGATTCTTAACACGGGACACTTAAAGAAAAAAAGTTAAATTTATAAAAAAAAACTACAATTAATATTATAATGAATACAAGGAATATTTCTCTAGTTGCATGTTAGCTTCCGTAAATGACTGTTTCATTTTATAATATTTCAAACATGAACTAAAATCAAAATAAATTAAAGGTTCTAAACAGGAACATATTGAATTCTAACAGGAACTGACTACAAATAAATTCTAACTGTTTATAGCTAAAACAAGGCAATTAATAGTTAATTATAATTAAATTGTTATGCTTTTACAAATTTTGGCAGAATTTATTCAAAATTAGCACACCAGCTTAATAAGATTTTTTAGAAAACAATTGAGTTGTAGGTTTAGTTGTGTAACAAAATTTGTAAAAGAAATTGTCGATTGTATCTTCTAAAGTTTACGGTAGGACAAAAATGTACTGAGTTCTAAAAAGTGCACCAAATTTCTGAAAAGTTTACGTGGACAGATGCACCTCGAGACGGACCTGAATTAATTTGCTGCTGTCATAACATTGGGGTTTTGCGGTGGATCTTTTTAGTTTTTTGTTATCAATTAATAATTTGTTTTTGGTCTGATTACTTAACGCAGATAAGTTTGGCCGTGAAACTGGCAGATGCAATGACGAAATTGAGACAACATACCCGGTCCAATTTTTTCCACAGGTAAATAAACATATTACGCAACCGTGTTTTGGACAGGTACTATTGTTAGTACTTTGGGAAGGCTTATTGGGTGGGGTTAATGTACACATTAATAAATAACAAATATGACAGTTCAGTATCACCTACCGTAACTTTATAGTTAATTTTTCTATTGGGTGTAGAGTTGTCCATACGTACGGCCATAATTATTATCACAGATGAGTTGAATTATAGGGGTGTGTCTATGATTATTTAAGTATTAAATGTCATTGCACACTACGAAGAGGTCATATTTATCACACGGCACTTGTTTGTATTTTTTTTAGGGCTAAGCGGTACGAGGGAGCCCTACTACATAACCGGATCTCGCCGGCACTTGTTTCTACCGCAACTACAGTTTTCATTCGCCACTCCCCTCGTCAACCGGACACCATCTTGGTTATCTGGTGTCTGTCGTTCATAGAGTTGTCGCTAGGGTTCGCTCGCGCCGGCGCGTTTCGCAAATATTCGACTTGTCTAATCACACACCGTTTAGTAGGCGTGATGAAAAACCGCTATCCAATTTTAGTCCAGTGAAATTATGAATAAAAAAAAATATTTTTAATTGACACATTTTTAATTATTGTTCTGAAATTAAAATGTTAAATATTAAATAATAATGTATTTAATATAAAAATAAAATGTTTTCTTTAACATTTAAGAAAAAATATACACATCAGATTTATTTCTAATGAAGCAGATAGATTACAGATGAAAAAAATAAAGAATTTTCACAATTGCATCTGCCAATATTGTAATTATTATAAATTAGTCATTAAGATATTTTTACTATTACTCCAGTCGTCAGAGACGAAAATGCTATTAAACCTCTAAAAATCAACAAACAAAACAAGCTTCATTTTTCACCCGAAAATCGATCTCGTAGGGGGAAGGGGAATATATTTAGGGGAGACTGGGGCCAAAATGACTACCTAACATTTTTTACTTGCATCTGCCAAACTTACAAGTAAGTAATGAAAACACCACACTAACCAGAGTTTTGAATAACATTTTTTATTATAATGCTTTACAAAAAATGCAACTAAAGTAACACGTTTAAACTAAAACTTAATGTTGAAAGGCCCAGTATGTGAGTCAAATGGGACCATCACTTAGTATTTGCAAAATTGGCATAGAAACATCGTCATCTTCTTCTTCCAAATCTGAATCTTCACTACTGTCATTACTATCCTTCATTGGCTGGTTTTTCTTTGACACAAGCTTTAAAATTTTGTTATCTTGCCTCCAATTTTTCTCATTTCCTTTTGTTTTTAAAGATCATCTTTATTTGGGGTGCTTGTCAAAATTTTCGACATCCTCTTTTTAGTATTGTTTTTGTGTTTTTTCTTATGTTGGCTGGGTTTTGGATACAGCAGTTGAAGTATATCTGTGACAGAATCAGCATTGACATCTGCATCAGCCTGCTTACTGGTGGTAGGTTGAGGAGAATAATTATCAGATCTGTCGGTTGTAGTTACAGACAATTTCCGATTTGGTGTGACAGGTCTAGGAGATTAGGAGGATTATTTCAGATTGGTGCAGTGCTGACGTGGGCAAATCTTCCGAAAATTGCCCACGCGGAAAAAAGCCAGTCTCGTCAAATATATCTCTGTTATAGGGAAATATGTCACTTTTTTCAAATCCTCTAGTGCTCTTTTCAACAGTTGCTACTTTTTGAAAATAATTGCAGCATAATTCTATATTTTCGTATCTAAAAAGATATCATACACTAAGCAATTTTGCTAAATGTATAGGGGCATATAGCACAGCGGACCAGCAGTCCTATATGCCCCAACGTAGATAGTCCTTATTATACATTTTACGCGAAAAACATTATCACGCATAACCTCATTAAAAGTTTAGGTAAATTAACGATTAAAGCGTGAAATGAAGGTGAGAGTTGTGTACGTGCACACATTTAAAATCAGCGGGTTTTTGCATACTGTGTTTTGTAATTCTTGTTCTTAGAGTGCCTTCTCCTTACGAAGGTTTTCAATCATAATGGCCATTTTTATTTTTGAACTTGCTGCCCTAAACAAATAAATTGATCTTCTTTGATACCAATCACGTAGATTCTTCAACGATGAGTTCTGCCTTCGGCCAACATATCTTCTTCCTTAAATCTTTCCCTGTATTATGAGTCTCAAAATTTCATAAATTATCTCATAAAATTGACAATGCAATACCTGCGTCCACTGACTGTACTGAAGCACGGTTTACTGTTGCCGGTAGCATATTTAGCGCGAAATTCAAATTATTTATTTTGTGTCTGTCAATGTTTCTATATGCCCCTGTGGTCCTGTATACCCCGGCCTCCCATAAGAATATGTACGCCGTAGAAAAAATGTTTTAAATAAAAAATGTAGCTAATATATTTTTAAACAAAAATGTTTACTAGTACGACAAAAGTCGAAATGCGTTTTAAAGGTGAAGAAAGTAGCTTCTGTATGCATTTTACCGAAAATTAAGTTAATTTCTATAAAGGTGTTAAATAAATAAACGTTTAGCAAACCATTTTTTACGATTCTCGTGAGATCAATAAAATTTATCACTTCCGTTGATCGGTCGTAGTAAAATTTCACTACGTAGTCACTTTGGAATTTTCATTATTAGAGCCAAATCTTCACACATATAGCCTGGAATTTCGGTTTTAGTTTTGTAGGTGCGGAATGAACAAATGTAAGGTAACTGAAATATGTTTGAAAGCCGAATTTAAACTTTTATATTACAAACGATTTAAAGCGTTTAAAACTGCTTCCATTTGATTACATAACTAAGTTTTTCGAAACAACAAAACTTCAGCTACAAATTTCAGTTTAATACGATCTTCGTGGAAGCATTTCCCGTGACGCGCTATCCTTTGTTATGTAAATGTTTAAATTCAGCGTTTTTTGGGTATATTTTAAATGTCTCATGTTTTTTAAACTTAAAATCGAACTTTCATGTTATAGATTTTAAAGACTAGGCTCCAGCAATGAAAATTTCATGCTGTTATTATATCACTTAGATTCTTAATATCCCCTTTAACATTGATAAAAAAATCGTTAACATTTCAACAAATTCCCTTTTGAATTTGTTATTTTCATGACGAAGAACAGTGCTTTTATCATAGTCAATGAAACATACACACACTTTTATCTCTTTCTTTTTATCTCGTGATTTTGGTCACCTGATTCATTAATGAGGGTTCCTAAGTATTTGTATTCGCTAACTTTTTCAAGTTGGGTACCATTGTGATCCTAAGAACAATAGTGGGCAAAACAAGAAGAGACAGGATGAGAAACACAAACGTTAGTGAGCAGTGCAAAATTCAAGATATTTTAAGATGGGGAAGGCAGCGTAAGAGGATGTGGTACAATCATGTAAGACGAATGGATGAGAATAGACTCCTAAAAAGTGCCCTAGAAAACAACCCGCCCGGTTCAAGACTTCCCGGAAGACCACCTTAAAGATGGAGGGAGGAATAGTTGGCAATCTACCTCCCAGGAAATTAACCAGAGACAGCTTTAGATTTAAACAGATCGAAAGATTTTCAAGAAGTAGTAGAAGAAGAAGAAGAAGAAGAGAAAGATCTATTTAAAGGTGGAGTACTCGAAACCCTATCATTGCTTGAGCCATGAAGATCAACAGTGTTAGTCGCGAGGGACTAAATAAGTTTTACACAGTCCATAATGAAGAGTTATCATCTTTTCTATATCACTATATTATTTTTACGTGTTTGTTAATATAATTTTTTTACGTTTTATTATCAAATTGTCACTTTTTGGGGTTACCTATAAAAACCTTTTTATATTTTTTGTATTTTGTATAATTTTACTCTACTAATATTGTCTATATAAGCATATCCACATTGCCATGATACAGTTGAAAATCTTTGGTCTGGATGCAAAGAATGATGGAATATGAAGTATTAAACAAAAGCACAATGCTAACATCATAGCATTTGAAGTTATAATGAACGGCTATATTTTTTGTTATAACCGCCGCGCCGCTTAAACATGTGCAGCAATGTGCACAGATGGGTTGGTTTGAGAGGGTGGCAATCACTCTTTGATAGAGTTATTATATTCTTCAATTTCTATAAACCAGCAATATTATTGTTTAGAATTTTAGAACACAATGATAAGTAAACTTGTTTCATTCAGAAACATCGAAAAAACTTCGATAGCTAAAACTGTGAAAATTTCTAAAAATCATTTCGTCAAAATGAGATTTTAATGTAGCATATTATTATTAATCTCAGAAAGCTTTTAACGCAAAAATCTAATCATTTGTGGCAAAAAAGAGTTAAACTGGTATAGGTAAGAGTTAAAAACTATTTGAAGCTGTAAAATTGGTTACGATTAGCGTTAACTGTGCTGCTACACTTCAACGATCTAATGTAAGCACTGTGTTATGGAATACTATGCGTTTATTTCTTCTCCGGACTAACTCTTTGTTTTGGAATTAAACAGAATATATTGACATGTATAAATTTATTATATTAGAGGATGAAAATTACACTGCCTGTTATTTCTTAAAACTATGAATTTATAAGTTCTGTTATCTACAATTATTTAACGATGTTTTTTGGATGGATTTGAGTACAAGAGATTGGACTCAAATATTAATATTAAAATAGCAAATACGGATAGCTTATCGAACAAAGAAATAAGAGAAATAAATTATTATTATTCCATAGATACGAAGTATTAGGCGAATAAACTAGCGAAACTTATTTATTCTAAATAGGAAAATATTTATGAAGAGTATTGATTCTGATTTCTAACAGCAAATAATTATTAGTGATTATACATGAGAACTTTTCATAATTGTAAATAACATATACCAGGTGACTAAAAACTATATAGAAATACATAGATACTTTAATTATCTTACATGTGAGTAGGTAGGTACATTACACCTCCTTTTGTAAGAATGAAAATAATTGTAAAATGAATTTTCATTTAAATGGTATAAAACATTTGTATACATTATTATTTTATTTTAACACATTTAAATAGTTTCTTTTAGTCTCGATAGTCTTTCACTTCGTCTTATCGGTGTAGTCTCTGTGAAACTAGTCTCTTCACACTTTTTGGATTCACTATAATTATTGTCTTTATTATGTTTACAATCTATACTTAAATCTGTCTCATGTACATGTTTTCGTTTACTTTGACATATATTTAGTGTTAAACAATTTGTAATTTGTTGACAACTATGTGACGGATTTCTACGAAATCGTCGGTAAAAATATTTAATTATCCTGTATAAAATATAAAGTAACATACATTTTATCAAAAATAAGATTGCATAAGTGAAATAAGAACTATTTTTTATTGTGTCTGAAAAATTAATATTTGTTTCTGAGGTCATTTTCTCTAAATT